CAGCTGGAACAATTTGAGGAAGAAAATCGATAAAGTAGTATTGATGATAACCCAAAGTGTAAAATAAATATCCATGAGTCCATACTGATGTGAATGATTGAATAGATAATAAACGGGGAGAAGGGACGCATCTCCCACACAGAGGAATTCCAGATGACTTGTGCAGATGCTCCGCCCTTGAGGAGGGGCGTTGTGACCCCTGACCCCTTAGCTGTGGGCTGTACATAGTGACTTCCTTCCAAAGGGTACAGCATGGAAGGGGGGACAAGAGTCACTTTACACTGGAGACACCTGACAGACCCCACCTCAGCCAGGTGACCAAGGTCACGTCACAGGGAAGCTGTGTTGATGGCCTGTGCCCTGGACACGGTATGACGAGAGGGGCACTTCACCTCTGTGCTCCTCCTCCCCAAACCCGTCCCCCAGTCTAACCACGAGAAAAACACCAGACAGATCCCAACTGGGGGCATCCTACAACATACCCGCCCAGTCCTCCTCAAAACTGTCCAAGGTCATCAGAAACAAGAAAGTTCAAGAAACTGTCTCAGCCCAGAGGAGCCTAAAGACGTGATGACAAATGTCGTGTGGGATCCTGGGACAGAAAAAGGACACTGGGGGAAACTGAGGAGAGCTGAATAAGGTCGGGAGTTTAGTTAACAAAATGCCCCAATACGGGCTCACTAATTGTGATAAATGCACCATACAGAGTAAGATGTTAATAACAGAGCGAACTGGGTGCGGGGGCCTCAGGAACTCCGTACTATCTCCACAACGATTCTGTACACTGAAAACTGCTCTAAAACTAAAAGTGTATTAAAAACACAGGGATTGCCTGGGCAGGAACGGAGGCGACCAGAGGCTCGAGTAGGGAGCTGAGGCAGCATCCAGACTGGAGAAGACTGGGCCTGGCCCCGGGCCACCACGGGGTCAGGAAAACGGGCAAAATGTCAGTGTTTCAGAGACCAGGGCCAGCAGGCTCACTGTGCTGAGGAAGGGAAGAGAAGGCCCTCGGGGCAGCCAGACAGCTGGCCCGGTTCCTGGGCTGCCCCTGCGGACCCGGGGCCGGGAGAGCAGCCGGTGGTCAGCGCAGGCTTGAATGGGGGCCAGCAGGCGCTAAGACTCGTTTTATGAGGGCCCAGGTAAGGGGGACAGACGGGAAGCTTTCAGATTTGTGACGGGACAACATTCTTGGGGATGGTCTTCCCAGCCCCGGGACCAGATGCTGAAACTGCCCTCATAAGGTTGCAGACTGGCAGTATGGCCTCCAGGTAAGTCCTCGCCTTCTCTGAGCCTCAGTTTCCAGTTTGTGAAATGAGGATCAATAACGTCCTTCTCACAGGGTTGTGAAGGGCGTCAAATGAGCCCTGCACACAGTGGGCGCTCAATAAACTGTGGTCACCCCTTGCGCCTCCCAGTCTCAGGTGAAAGGAGCGGCGCCTGTGGCTTTAAATTATGCAAATGAACTGCGGGTGGCGGAAGGAGGGAGCTTCTTTTAAAAAAAGAGCCTCTTCTCCGGCTCAGCCAATCAACGCACTGGGCCTACGGAGCCGGCCGCCCAACGGCCCAATGGCGGGCTGCGCCGACCCAGAGCCCGCCCAACCCCCGGGAGCCGTCGTGGGGGTGGGGCCTCTCTCGGCCACGCCCCGGGGGGCGGGGCCAGCCTGCCGCCGCGCTGCAGCCGCGGAGGGAGGGAGGGAGGGAGGGAGCGGAGGGGCGGGGCGGGGCGGGCTCCGGTGTCAGCGTCTGAGTCGCAGGTGGCGGCGGGCACGGGGCTCGGCCCGAGCTCGGGAGGTGAGTGCGGTCTCCGGGACTCCCCCGAAACCCCCTGGCCCCGGAGCCCCCCGTGCACACCGCGCCCGACAGCCCTGGTGGCCTCGGGGGGCAAAGGCGCGGCGGGGCGGTAGGGATGGCGAATAGGAGGTGGGGGCTGCGCGGCGGGCGCCCCGACCGCCTCCCTGGTGATAATCGGGGGTCCGCGGAGCGAGATAGGGACCCCTCCCCAATTCTCCCGTCTCCTGACCTGGAACCAGAGCGTGCAGGGGCCGCCTAAGACGCGAGACCCCTCCCCAAATCCGTTTATTCTAAGCCTAAACCTGGGTCTGAGGTCAGGGCTGCAAAGATGGGGGCGCCGCTCCCTCTCCAGCCTGGGACCCAGGACAGTCGCAGTGGAGACCACCTCCAATTTTTCTGCTCCCATCTCTGGCCTGCAGACCCCAGGGGACCAAGATGAGGAACCCTCTTCCCGTTTTCTCCACTATAAACCCCAATCGAGGCCTGGTGAGGGAGCTGGGGGTCCCCTGACCCCTCCTCTAGACTGTCCTATCCCAGCCCCCTCCACAAGGATGGGGGTGCATTTCACTGGCACCCTCTGCAGGGACCCCAAGGTTGGAATTCTGAGGAGGGGGTCAGCGTGGGTCCCTTGCCTGGCAGGGACTGGCCAGGCCAGGTCTGGAAGGGCCTGGATCATGGACTTGGGGGTGGTCCCTGCCTCAGTGGGGGGTGGGCAGTGAGCATCTGTTCCCTGGGATTAAAATAAATTGAGGTAAATTAGGATCTTGCAGGCTGACTGCCAGTGGGGTGTGGAGGAGGGTTGGAGGGTGGGCGGCCCCTCCATCTGCCTTGGATCCTGAGAGTCGCCTGCCCCAGCCGCAGTGGGGACCAGGAGGTGGCTTCGAGTGGACCTGCCTCACTGGTGACCTTGGGCAGGTGACAGCACCTCCCTGAGCCTCGGTTCCCTCCTTTGAAAGTGGGGTTGGGGCGCAGAGCCTGTATCCCACAGATTCTGGAACCCACCCACCCCATCTTTTGACCATGTCTGACTCCACCCTTTTGCTTAAGATGTCACTGGTTTGGGGGTGAGAGAGAAATGGATTTGGAGCCCCCCATATGCCTTGCTGGCCTCTGACCCTCAGTTTCCTGCACTGCAAAATGGGTTGCTGGTCAGTCACACGCTGGCCTTGCTAGAAGGGCTGCTCTGCCAGACAGTAAAGCATACTGCCAAGCTGCCATTGTGAGAACAGGGGCCCCGCCACCCTGGTCGCAGCGGCGCGACTACCCAGGGCACGCCCTGACCCGCATACCGTCACCCACGCCAGGGGCGAGCCGGTTCCTGAGCAGGGTCCTGGGTGGGAGGAGGCGGGAGGTGCCCGGCCAGCCCGTGCCCTGCCCCTTGGAGCTTGTCCCTGTGGTGGGCTCAGGGCAGCCCTGGGCTGGGCGGCAGACACCCCCAGCTTCAAAGCCGGCCCCCTGCGTGTGGTTTGGCCCCCTGCGCCTTGGCCTGTTCTTCCGCAAAATGGGCTGAATCCCCCTTGGGAGCTCGGAGCTGACTGTGGGAGGGGGAGTGCTGTAAAGGCAGATGTGGTCATTATAACCCTAATTACAGTATTGGTGATCATAAACGGGTACACAGCTGGAGTCTGCAAGGGTGTTGCCTGCTGTGCCTTCAGAGGCGGGCAGTCAGGTACACAGTTGGTGCTCAGTAGGTGTTTGCCAATGAAGCAATGAAGAGGGAGGGGCCCAGTGGGGAGGACTGAAAATTCCTGGGCTTGAGCTCAGGTGCCTGCTTGACTGCCCAGTTGCTGTGTAAGTGGAGCCTGTGCCCCAGTTTCCCTGTTGGGGTGATGGCTGGGATGAGACCCTGCCTCAAGGTGCTGTGGTGAGAATCAAGGCAGACAGTGCAAAGGGTCCCGGCCCTGGTGTCCAGGCGAGAGTGCAGGAAACACAGGACGGAGCTGCTCATGGAAACTTCGCAGCACCTGCACAGGCCAAGCGCCCGGTTCCTGAAAAGACAGAAAACCCCCCAAACTGGCCCTACTGTGCGCAAACTGGAGTCCGGGGGCAGCAAAAGGTCAGATCCTGTTTCACCGGCCCCTGGAGGTCCAGAGAGGTCAGGGGTTGCCCAAGGTCGCCCAGCAGGAGGTCAGGGGCTCCGGACGCCTGGCCAGGAGCACGAACGAACGAGCCCTGCCTTCTTTGGCGGTTCCTGTCCTGTTGTATCTGTTCCCGGGCCTGCTCGACCACTCAACCTGGCTCAGAGCCCTGGGTTTCTGGGAATGGGTGCTTGGGAGGCAGGATCTCCAGGCACTGCCCGGGGCTCATGTCAGACACCCTCGGGAGGACTCTGTTCCCTGCTTCCAGCACCCAGAGGATGGGGGCATCCAGGTCAGTCAAGAACCTGCTGTGTGACCTTGGGCAAGTCCCTGTTCATCTCTGGGCTTTGCCCTGGTGCTGCAGAGGCCAGGAGACCTGGGCCTGAGCAGGCTGACTTCTCCATCAGATGCGGTGACCACGGTGTCTCGGGTATAGTACTTTTAGGGGTCTATGAAGATATTTTAACTTCTTTTAAAATCAGAAGGAAACACATGAGCTTTGGGGTCAAAGAAAACATGTTAATATATGATATAAACATGTTCACCTTTGTGCCAGTGCCGTTGTAAATATAGTTAAATTTCTTTTTTTAATGGAGGAAGGGGCCTGAAGCAAAAGTGCCTCGGGTCCATGAGCATCCTAATGCAGCCCCGGGTGGGAGTGTCGGTGCTGCCGTTCACAGGCTGTGCAACCTCGGGCAAGTGGACTCCCCTCTCTGAGTCTTGGTTTCACCTCTGTGAAGCAGGCATCATTGGTCCACCTTGGGATGACGAGATGTGGAAAGCTTAGCCCAGGGTTGCACTCAGTTTGTGGGTGCTATGATTTCACAATTGTTGTCACGATTGTCATTTGTTTGGTACTAATAGCCCCAGGCTGCGGGCCTCACATCAGGGGCCTCTGTTTGCCCACGGCCCTCGCAGCTCCAGGGAGGTGCCAGGGGTGCCGGTCTGGGGGAGGCGAGGTGGCTGTTGGGCGGTGGGCGGGGCGGGCTGAGCTTCCTGTCCCCCAGCACAGGGGCCGCGCTCGTGCTGACGGAAGTGGCAGGCCGTGTGGCTCTCTCCTGTGCCCGCCGCGTCCGACGGCGCTCGCTGCCCTGTCTGGTGAGTTCGAGCTCCCGGGAGGCCCCCTTGCCCCTCCTCACCCCTCAGTGGCAGGAGGGAGGCCTCTCTGCCGGGCCCAGGTTTCAGGAGAAACAGCAGGTGTCACTTCCTGGGCCGGGCCTGGCTGTGCGGGCCACCCTGCGCCCCCGGGACGGCTCTGAGTTGTGGGGTGGGGTGCGGGCGGCAGAGGAGACATGGAGACCCGGGGCCACATGTCATGGTTCAAACAGGAGTTCTTTGGCAGACAGGCCAGGGACACAATGACGGTGAGCCGGGGACCGTGAGTGACCTCTCTGGGCCTCAGTGTGCTCCTCTGTAAAGTGGGGCTGGGTCTCTGCCCGGGCAGGGGGCGCAGCGCCCAGCCTGGCTCCGTGGGGGAGGGGCGGGCCACTGGAGCCGGGAGCACAGTGGTGAGTCCTGGTGTCTGGGCCCCCAGGGTCCTCCAGAGCAGCGCCCTGTGGCGGGACTTTCTGCATCTGTGCTGTGCAGCAGGACGGCCCCCAGCCCCATGCGCTGCTGCGCCCCGGAAGCAAGGCTGGCACAGCTGAGGGGCTGGGCGCTAATTGTCTTTGAGTTCACTTGGTTTAAAATTAAGTGGCCGCGTGGGGCAGGCGGTCCCACATGGGCCAGGGCAGCTCTGAGGGGTGTGGAGATGCTCAGGGTCTAGGTCGTGGCCAGAGACTGAGAAATGAGATGGAATTTCGGGTTCTCCCCCTCAGGATGTGGGCCCAGCATGCTCCCCTCCAGACTGGGTTTCCTCAGGGGCTGTGCTGGGGCCTGAAGTCGCTCAGGGGCCCCGGCACCACCCAGCAGCGGGTGATGGTGGGGAATGTTGGATGAGTCAAATAATATTTTGCTTGGTGAACTCCTATTCATACTTTAAATCCCCAGCTCCCATGTCCCCTACTTCAGTCCAGGCTCCTCCAGTCCTTGTTTCTCCATGTGACCCTGCCCTGACCCTGCAGGACCATGGGGTGTCTGTGTCCAGCACTGTTCCACTAGACTGGGGGCTCCTCAGGGACCAGGCCCAGGGCTGAATCAGCTCAGGGAGCCTCGCATTGTCCTGCCCAGAGTGGTCACGTGGTGGGTGCCGGGTGACTCATAGAAGTCAAGGGACTAGGGGCCAGAGGATAATGGGTCAAATTAAACTCACTTTCAAGATTAGGTAAACTGAGGCTCAGTTCCAGCAGCCTTGTCCAAGGTCCTTGCTCAGTCTTTTCCCGATGAGGCCCAGGGAGCTTTCCCGGCCTGCGCTCGCCATCCCATCCCGGCTGCCTCTGCGCCCTGGGCTCCCAGCTGCTGCTGAGCTGCCCGAGGGATCATGAATTATGGATGAGGCCTGGGGCTCCAGTGACGGTGACGAGCCAGCCTCCAGAGCACGCCAAGGACACTGAGTGTCCCTCCCTCCCTGGGTGGCTCAGCCCAGCCCTCTCTGCATGGCGGCCTGGGGTGCCCCAGCAAGACCCCTTCGAGGTGTTCTGTCTTGTTTTGCAGATGGGGAAACTGAGGCACAGAGCTGGACAGTGACTCAGACACCAGGTGAACACTGGCTTCTGGGGAGCAGGGTTGGGTGTCAGCTGGGTCACCATGGTGAGGGGTGAGCTCTCCATCCCAGGAGTGTGCATGAGGCAGGCACTGTTGTGGAGGGATTCAGACACCCTGAGGGGCCCCGACCCCCAATGTGGCCTACCACTGGCCCAGTGTCCATCTCTCACCAGACCCTGTTCCCGCAGGAGCTGCCCAGCGTGGAGCTGAGTGCTCAGGTCTGGACTCAGCTGGCCCAGAGTACAAGTCACTTCCTGGCTGTCTGACCTTGGCAAGTGGCTTCCCCTCTGAGGGGTGGGACTCATACATGAGATGGCCCAGAGCTTTTCTGCCCGGGCAAGAGCTCATCCAGTAAACACCCCCCACCACCAAGTGAACTCCTATTCATACTTAAAAACCCAAACTCCCATGCCCCTTCCTCTAGTCTGGGCTCTCCCAGCCCCTATCCCTCCACCTAGTCCAGCTTTGACCCCACTGGACTAGGGGCATCTGTATCCAGCTCTGTCCCCCTAGACTGGGGGCTACTTGGAGGCGAGGCCTGGGGCTGAATCATCTCAGAGGCCCTGGCATACTTCTACACTTGGGGCTTTTGGTTCTTCCTCCATCCTTTCTCTCCCTCCTCCACAGAGAGGACAGTTGGAATTTCCCCTCCTCAGGCTCTCAGCTGGCCGTTACTCTGCAGCTCAAACTTGCCTCTCTCTCTGGACAGGCACCAGGCACTAGACAGAAGCCTGCAGGGGTCTCCACAGAGGCCATCGGGATGTCGTATTTTGGGGAGCATTTTTGGGTAAGTAAGACCCACTCTTATTTTGATGGGGGTTCCTGGCAGAGCTGTGGAGGCTTTTATGGAAATGGGGGAAGCTGGTGGCTTGTGGGCAGAGTCTTGGGCAGGTGGAGGGTCTGCAGGGCGTAGAAGTTAAAGTGCGAAGAGTCAGGCTGGGTTTGAGTCTACACCCCCAGACCGCACAGGCCTTGTGACCTTGGGCAAGTCACACCTTGAACAACAGGGACCTGAGGTCCGGAGGACTCTCTCACCTGAAGCTGCAGGCAAGAGAGTGCAGTCAGGGCTGGGCGGGACCTCCGGGATCCGGCTCATTCCGGCTGGGAATTCCCACGTCTGCCACGTCCCCGGAGAGTTGGGGGTTTTCTTGACTCCGTCTCTGGGGGCCCCTGCCCCTCTGCCCCCAGGCGGGGGACCGCATGCTGTGACCCCAGGGCACCCAGGGAGGGGGCCTTGTTCTCATTCCTCCCCTCCCTCTCCCCCTGCCACCACCAGCCCACGCGCAGCCACCTCTGCGAGATGCTGGGGCTCCCTCCCAGCCCTGACCCCAAGGAGGCCCCCAGTTGGGGGGACACAGTGCCAGCCAGACCCCGCCAGCCCTGCCTGCAGAGTCAGCCTGGAGCCAGCCTTAGGGCCCAGAGGAGGAGCCCGGCTTCGAAGGCTGCCATGTTCAGGGATGGCAGAGAGCCATTCCAGGCAGGGGAACAGCCTGGGCAGAGGCCTGGAGGTGTGACACTCGGTGGCTAGTTGAGGGAACAAGGACTCCTCCTTCAGGGCCAGGCTAATGGGGAGCCACAGAGGATGTGTGACCAGGAGAGTCAGGGAAGGACCAGGGCAGAAAGCCCCTTCCTCAGTTGCAGGCCCTGAGCTTGCGAGAGGAAGCCCGTTGCTAGGCAACTGGTTGCCCCTGGCAACAGGCCGTCTCCCTCCCCAGCTGGGGCTCCTCTTACTGGCACTTGCTTTCTTAAAGGGGCCGCACCCCTTCCCACCTTTGGAGGGCCTGATCTCCACCTCCTCCCCAAGGGTCAGGGTCCCAGGCTTTGCCTCTGAATGGCTGTGTGACCCCGATGAGGGGCTGCCCCTCTCTGAGCCTCTGTTGGTGCCTATGTGTAAGGGGGTTGACCATTTGAGGATCATTCATCGCCCACATTTTGGAACCCTGACAGCAGCACCTACATTTATTTTAAGTTTCTTTTAATGGCATGAGGCACCTACATTTATTTTAAATTCTTTTTAATTGCATGAGGCATGCAAGCTCGATGCAGCAAATTCAGATCAGCAAAGAGAAAATAGCAGCCACCCCCAGGCCGCCCCCAGCCAAAGATAGCCTGGTGCACAGTGGGATTTGAACTGGGCTCTGCTGGGATGACTTTGCATCTCAAGGCCTCAGTTTCCCCATCTGGGAAGGCAGAGACACTCTCACCTCCCCGGGACTCAGAGAGTGCCCCTGGAATATCTGTTTCTTTTAATCTATTGTTTGCATTGGTGGGTCTTTGCTGGATGACGCTGGGGCCCTGTCTGGCCTGAGAGAGGCTCATCAGGAAAGATCAAGCCAAACAGGGATGCCCCAGTCCTGTTGGGTCAAGGCAGGGCTGGAGGCATAGAGGGCACTGGGGAGCCATGGGGGAAGTGTGAGAGGGAGAGAGACCTGATCAGGCTGTGTTAGAATGATCCCTCGGGGCTGGTGTGGGGGCGAGACTGGAGTCCAGAGGTTCCGATAGGAGACACAGGCCAGAGACAGCCCCTCCCAGGACCCTCGGCTGCCAGCCCAGCCCGAGGGAGGCAGACACTGCTGGGGGCTTTGCCAGGCCTGGGAAACGGGCCAGCGTTTGGCTCCAAGTCAGCCCCAGATGCTGGCCTGGGCGGCGGTGCCTGGTGCGGCCTCCCCCGAGGATCCCCTGGGCAGGGCGTGGGGCTGTGGGCTGTTTGCTGTGCAAGAGGCCCTGTGTCCGGCCCCGCCCCGGCCTCATCTCGCCAAGACCCATGGGAGTTGGGCGCTGTCATTGTCCCCATTTGTCAGATGAGGTAACCGAGGCCCAGAGAGGTGAAGTCACTGGCCTAAAGTGACCCAGTGCATAGAAGGAGGATTTGGCAGTGGAACCGTGGAAGTACAGCACTAGACTTGAGAAGAGAAAAAATATATTCCTGGGGCGCTGGCGGGATGGACAGTGGACACTCAGGGAAGTGGGGTGTGAGGAGGGTCTGAGAAGGTTCCTGAAGGAGGCGGGCCTGGCAGTCACCCTTGGGAGCTGGCCGGGTTTGGATGGGTGGGCAGCGGTGCGGGCTGGCAGCCGCGGGCGCCGGGAGGGCACAGCCTTCGCACTGTTTACTGTGTTGCTGGTGAGGCCAAGAGGAAGCCGCGAGATGAGGGGGGAAGGCATCTCCAGACGAAGGACTATGCATTTCAGCAGCTGGTGGGCAGTCGGGAGCCATTGATGGTTCTAGAATGAGCGACTGTGGGGAGGTGTGGGCTTGATGCTGTCCTGGGTCTGCGCGATCTTGCTGCGGTTGCTCCATTGGTGCAGCAAGACGGTTCCGGGGCTCCCTGGACGCAGGTCGCCGCTGTCTGAGAGGAGCACTGCGGAGACCCTTCCCAAGCCAACGGGGAAAGTGAAGAAGCAGTTACCACTCATTTATATGGGACAAAAGTTTTGAGCCTTCTCAGACCCAAAACATCACCCGCCTAAATAAAGCGAGAAAAAGCCCAGCCGCTCGGGACGCGGCTCCAAGCCGGGTGGCCGCCGCCGCCGCCTCGCCTCGCGGGGGCCGGGCCCACACGCTGAGCGCCGTTTGCGCTGTTCGTCTTTTTGCGTAAAAGCGAGAGTTCCCTGGGATTGTCCCGTTAGCAAGGACAGGCCCTGGGCTAGGTCCTTTGCAAAGGCCAAGTGGCGTGAGGGAAACTCGCAGACGGCGGGGAAAACTATTCTCTGACGGGGACCTCTGACTGTCGCCTTCGGGCGTCCCCGTCCCGGAGGGGGACCCGCAGCTGGAGAAGGAGGGAGGAAACGGCCGGTGCAGAGGGCCTGCTGGAGCTGCGGGGCCGCCCCGGGGCCCGGGCGGGACTCAGCGCATCGCCTCCCTCCGGAGCCGCCGCCGTCAGCCCTAAGTGTGGGCCTCGCGCCCTGCCCGCGGCTGGTCTTCCCTGGGGACGGGACCTGGCCGGCGTCAAAACAGAGCTGGTGCCTTGTTTGTGCCCTCCCGGTGGCGCGGGGGCCGCTTTCCATTTGGAATAGTGGTAGGAGTGGCCCTTTTGAATCAATGTATGTAGAGAAGAAACATGGGTGAATTTAAAGGCAATGTTAACTAACACCGTGAGTTAGCAAAAATTTGAGGTGCCCGTGGGACCATGATGCGGCTCGTCTTGGTGTTTCCTTCATCCCCATGGGAGAGGTAGATGACTCCCTGCCCCCGTCCTAACCAGGAGCCACTAAAGGTTCACAGAGGGCCGGTGACTTGCGTGGATCGCAGTGCTGACGCCAGAACTGGGAGGAAAGAGGGTTTGTGAGGCAGCAGCAGGCACCCGGTAGCGGCTCTGTTCCCACCAGCACCAGGTAACAGCAGATTAACCCATTTGTTCACTTAGTCAACGAACTCAAATGGCCTTCCTGTGCTCTACCCTGTCCTGGACATTGCTGGTCATGAGAGAGGTGTCAGACCCAGACCCTACTCTGGGGATCTCAGAGAGGGCGTTTCCATGTTGAAGAGAACAGAAAACACAACTACAGTTAGTTAAATAACCGGGGTTACAGCAACTCACAAAAGTTGAAAAGTTGTGGGATAGTGATGCTTCCAGGGTTAGTTTGATCCAGCAACCCGACTCAACACCGTTTTTTTATTCAGACTCTCTCGGGTTCAGCTTCTTTCCAAAGTTCATGGTTCCACTTGGCTTCCAATAGTTCCTGTGCCCACATAATTCCTCTTTTAAGGAAAGATGCAGACAGAGAAACACAGGGGAAGAGACTGATTGAGGCAGAAAAAAAGAGGCAGAGAGAAAGAGAGAGAGAAAGATGGAGACACAAAGATAGACACAGTGAGACAACCAGCGAAAGAGAACGTCTCTCCCTCAACTATGGGACAAAAATTCCAAGCTTCTTTCTGATTCGACCAACTTATAGCCCATGAACCAATCCTTGTGACCAGGGGGAAATGCAACGGGTTGATTGGCTTAGGCCTGAACTAACCACTACAGCCAAGGGGATGGACTTCTGCTGGTTGACTCCTGTCCACGCCCCTGTTGCTCGGCGACTGTGATGCCGTCTCCACCCCCTTCCTCAATCTCCACCCCCATCCCCTGCAGGGCGAGAAGAACCATGGCTTTGACGTCTTGTACCAAAGCATGAAGCAGGGACCCGTCTCCACCAAGGAGCTGGCCGACTTCATCCGGGAGAGGTGAGGTCCCCGTGCCCCACCCACCCCGCGGCCCTGCCCTGGCCCCGCCCTCCTTCCCCTGCCCCGCCCACGTCAGGCCCCGCCCACAGCCCTGCCCCCACTGCCCTGCCCTGGCCCCGCCCTCCCTCCCCTGCCCCGCCCATGTCACGGCCACGCCCACAACCCTGCAGCCACGCCCCCTCACGGCCCTGCCCTGGCCACGCCCTGCCCGGTCGGTCGGGATCCCCGCGGGCTGCGGGAAACCAGCGGTTCTCAGCACTGTCGGCCTCAGGCCCCCTGTAAGCAACACTCCCCGGGTTTCTAACGCCTCCTGCTAAAGAGACCATACCATGACCCACTTACGAGGGAATTTTGAAAACTCGATCTCGTGCCCTGAGGATGATAAAACACGTGTGTGATGAAATAATCTACATTTCAGCATGTAAATACATGCTCCGATGTCCGTGCCCCAGAAAACATGATAAACTCAAATTGCAAGACAGCCTCTGCTGCCCAGCACCCGGTTGCTGGAGACCCGTTCCTTCTGGGCGGTCCGCGTGTTCATCGCCAGCTTTTTCTCTTTGTGGCTGTCAGGCGGGCCGGCCGAGCCGTACAGGACGGGGCCACGCTTTCTGTCGTGGGCCTGGAGCACCTGGGTCCATCCGCTGTTACCCGTGGTACCCCATGGGCACCTCTCCCAAAAAGTGCCCTCGTGGGTGATCGGCTGTAACTGGCACATTGCCGCCCCAAACAAAACTGAGGTTCTGTTAGTCAGGAGGAAACCGCGCGCGGTCAGCATTTAGCAGTGTCTGTCCAGAAGGAGAAAGGAAATATGGGTTTGTCTCCTGCAATTAGATGAGACAGAGCATATGAAGTATTGATAATATGTGCTCAAAAAATATTCCACCTGCTGCCGCGACCGCCGTTAGTGAATGCATTGCTTAAGGATGAAAACCTCTCCCATGCGTTTCTAAAACGCCGCCCCCTGCCTGAGGACTGTACCATCCTCCCTGAGAGCCACTGCTCAGACGTTTGAGATGGAGAAACTGAGGCCCAGGGGGGTGGGGCCTCTTCCAAGGTTGCCCGGAGCCTTCCCCATCTTTTCCCGTCGTCCTACCCAGGGCCACCATCGAGGAGACCTACTCGAAGGCGATGGCAAAGCTTTCCAAGCTGGCCAGCAACGGGACCCCCATGGGGTGAGTAGGCCGTGGTGGGACCCTGGGGCGTCGGGAGCATGTGCCGGGGGGGACATCTCCTCAGATGCAATGTGTAGAACAGGGGCCGTCCTTCTACTTACGGGGCTAGCTGGACAGAGGACCGCATCTCGTCCGTTCTCTCAAAACTCATTCGTTCATTCATTCATTGAACGAATATTTACTGAGCATGTACTGTGGGCCAGGCACCGATCTAGGCACCAGAGGCCCAGTGCCAATTACAACAGATAAAACCCCTGGTCACTTTTATGCTGTGTACATCTGGTGTGTGTGGTAAGACAGATGTTAACCACACATGAGCAAAATCCTTCCTGGGGTGCACGTGCCAGGAAGGGAAGAGGAGCAGGAGAGACCGGGCTTCCTCTGTGAGGGGCCCTGCTTTGTGAGTTGAGACCTTAATGATGACAAGGAGTCAGCCACGGGTGTCCAAGGGACAGAGACCCACTCAGGCGGCTCAGCCAGTGCAAAGGCCCTGAGGCAGTAATGCACTTGGCATGTTCAAGGACGAGTCAAGAGGCTGGCACAACGGCAGGGCCTGGACAAGGTGGAGATGGGGGGTAGGGGATAGGGGGTGGGATGAAGGTGGACGGGGCCACGGGGCCCAACACACAGGTGACTTTCAGACAAGGATGTGATGTGGTTCCACTGGTATTTTGCAAAGTTCCCTGTGGCTGCTGTGGGGCAAAGATTCTGTCAGGCAGCAATGGAGGCAGCAGGGAGGGAAGGCAGCCCCTCCTGCTGAGGTGGGAAAGCCCCTCAAACTTGGTTTGGGCGGGTTGGGTCTTAGCTGCCCACGAGTAGCAGGTGAGTCCTGTAGTCCAGTGAGGACTCCAGGGCCTCAGGGCCTGGATTTACATCCCAGCTCTGATGTTCATTTGCTGAGAGGCCTTGGGTGAGTTATGGAGCCTCCGTGCCTCAGTTTCCCTCTCTGTCATAGGCCTGCCTCGTGTGGTTGCAACAGGGATTAAATGAGATAATATGTGTCCACGCTTAACAGGGCCCAGTAGGTACCTGAGCCAATGCCGGCTGAGCTGTCTGGCCCCGGGGGGTTGAGCCTGCTGGGCCTTGGGTACAACTCCACCTGTTTCCAGGACCTTCGCCCCACTCTGGGAGGTCTTCCGTGTCTCCTCGGACAAGCTGGCGCTCTGCCATCTGGAGCTGACGCGGAAGCTGCAGGACCTCATCAAGGACGTGCTCCGCTACGGGGAGGAACAGCTCAAGGCTCACAAGAAGGTGTGTGCCACTGTGCCGGCCGATGGGGGCTGCCCATGGCTCTCGGGATCCCAGGCCTCATGGGGCCTCAGGACCTCCGGCCCCTGTGCCTCTGAGAATTCGGTTAAGTCCACAGCATCAAACCCGCAATCTCACAGACCTGAGCAGTGCTGAGTTTCAGACTCTCAAAACTGTAGACCAGGGGTCTGCAAACTACAGCCCGAGGGCCGGATGGATGCAGCCTGCCGCCCATGTTTGTACAGCCCCAGGGCGAAGAATGCTTTTTACATTTTTAAATGGTTGGGGAAAATATCAAAAGGTGATTTCATGACACGTGAAAATTATGTGACACTCAGATTTCAGAGCCAGTAAATAAACTTTTATTGGTTCTGTCAGTTTAGAAAGCAAATTTAGCTATTTTATCTCACAATGAGTTTATTCACTAATAGCCAAAAGAATTGCAATTCTGGCTGTGCATGCTGTGGTGAACCACAGGCAAATCCAGGAAGAAAGGAGGGGAGCTGCTTTTTAGAGAAAAGGGGAGAGCGGGGAAGGGATGCTCTAAAGCAAAGTTCACTGGGAGAAAGTGACAGTTCACGGGCAACGGCTTCTCATTCGTTGAGCTGTGGCGTTTCTCATGGCTGGGCTGTGGCGTTTCTCATTGGCTGGGCTGTTGCCAGGTGGGGAGAGAAGTCTTCCTTCAGTAGTAAAGTAGTTGTACTTCCTGTCTGAGGGTAAGTCCCTCTCTTCCTGTTTGCTGTAATTGATGGTGTCTGAGGGGTGAGAGCTCCCCCTGCAGGCCTTCCCGGCTCCAGTTTGGTTAAGGTTCTTTTGCTAATTTCCACGTTTCATGGCCACGTCGCTTTGAGACCATGTTGTCTGTGGCTGTTTTCAAGCTGCAGTGAGTCGAGTGTGACAAGCCCAACACAGTTACTGTCTGTCCCTTTACAGAAAAAGTTTGCTGACCCCTGATCTTGAGCTACAGATCTTGTTATTTGACATTTCTGGCCTCTTGCAAACCTAGAATCTTGGAAGGTTTGAGCCTTAGACTCTCAGGATCCCAAGATGTTCGAAGCTTATAATTCTAGAGTCATAGATGCTTTGCATTTCCAGAGCCTGAGAGCCTTCGATTTTTAACCTCATTAACAAAGGGAGTTGGTAGTACTTAATGCCACTGAACTGTAGGCTTAAAATGGTTAAGATGGTAAATTTTATGTTATGTGTATTTAGCCGCAATTTTTTTTAAAGTTGGGGGACAGTGAAGTTTTCTGCGGGCTGATACGCAACTGTATTGGGAGCGGACTATTAGGTGCGAGTTAAGCAGCAGGGGCTGCTGTCGCTGGTCATAAAGAAGGGGCGGACCGGGACATTTGACTGTGTACGGACGGTGATTTCTGGAGAAGTTTTCAAGGCATGATGGGGGCTCCTAGGCAGGGCCTGGGAGGCTGGGGATCAGCTGCGGGAGGTCAAAACTGAAAACTTTCTGAAATATGAGTTATGTGTAAATATAAAAAGGCTTATGTTTAAAAAGTTAAAAATTTTGAAAATGATAGAATCCTCAGAAAAAGTCCTCTTGGACTCGCACAGAGCGTTTGGGAGGCTGGGAGTTTCGCAGGGTGCCCCCGAGGTGCGCTCGGCACCCACCGCCCCGCTGGCCGCCCCTGCAGTGCAAGGAGGAAGCCGTGGGCACGCTGGATGCCGTGCAGGTCCTCGCGGGCGTCAGCCAGCTCCTGCCCAAGTCCCGCGAGAACTACCTGAACCGCTGCATGGACCAGGAGCGGCTGCGGAGGGAGAGCACCAACCAGAAGGAGATGGACAAGGTGGGCCCGTGGCCGCAGGGTCCCCGGAGTCGGCCGAGCGGCAGCGGGGCTGCCTGGTGGGGGCGGGAAAATGTGTCACAGAGCGATGGACATTGACCCCGCGTGTGTCCACCACACCCGGGCGCCCCAAGGAGTCTCCCTGCCGGGAGCTGCGGCCACGCGGAACCGCCCCGAGTGTCCCCTCCCGACGCCGCCGCGTCCTTCGCCTCCTAGGCCGAGACCAAGACCAAGAAGGCGGCGGAGAGCCTGCGGCGCTCGGTGGAAAAGTACAATTCGGCCCGCGCCGACTTTGAGCAGAAGATGCTGGACTCGGCTCTGGTAAGACCGGGCGTCCGGACCTCGGAGAGCGACGCGTTCCTGGGCCCAGCACGCTGTGGCCTCCGGAACGCTCGACCCCCAGGAGGCTTAGAATCACAGGCCTAAAGCGGTAGAACCCGAGAGCCGGTTGGCTGTCGTTCTGTTGTTGACGCTGTCATTATTTCAAAAGCCAAATAATTTTTGTGCCTCGGTTTCCCTGTCTGTAAAATGGGGACAGTAACAGCACCTGCCTCATCGCTGCTGTGAAGATTTAATGTCACTATATGGAAAGTTTTCAGACTAGTATGCCGTGCATAGAAATCACTCTATAAGGTATTATTATGTTATTATTTCTATTATTATTGATGAGGTTTTTGAACAAGACAGGGCAGGGTTGAGAAGCTTAGAGTCTCCTGACATTTCTTGGTGGCTAAAAGGCCTGGATTCTGGTCCAGCCTCCATTCCTCACCAGCTGTGCAACCTTTAGCAAGGCATTGCAACTCTCTGGGTCTCTGTCCACCCGAATGTATGAAAAGCAGATTGCAATCTCAGGATTAGGAATCAGCTTTTTCCCTCCTGATTTTGCAAGTGATAAAAACCTTCATTCAAGCTGACAAGGAAGATTATAGGCTCAGGGAACTGAAAAGTTTGAGAGGAGAGCTTCAGGCATGGCTGGATCCAGGTGCTTAAATGGTGTTGGCAGGAAGTTGTGCCTCTCTGCTTTTCAAGTCTGTTTTCCTCCCTGGGGGGGCTTCACTCCCAAGCAGACATGCCCTCCTGGGTGTGTGTTTATATGTGTATGTGTGCAGCAAAGTGGCCCCCATTGGCCCCCACATACATCCCACCAACTCATTGACTCAGGGTGTGAAAGTGTCTGTTTTCCCATAGTTCCAGCAAAAGTCACAGGGCAGACTCTCATTGGCTTTTCCCCAAACCTATCACTGATGACAGGAGGTTGGAACGTTCTGATTGGTCAGGCTGGGTCACATGGCCACTCCTCCCGGCCTCCACTTTCCTGTCTGCCCCTCCCCTCCTGCCTTAGCGCTTCCAAGCCCTGGAGGAGACGCACCTGCGGCACATGAAGGCGCTGCTGGGCTCCTACGCCCACTCGGTGGAGAATACCCACGTGCAGATCGGGCAGGTGAGCGGGCGCGCGGGATGGGCCCGGGCTGCTGGGCAAGGGGGCCCAGCCTCGCCTGGTCACACCGGCCGCCCCCACCCAGGTGCACGAGGAGTTTAAGCAGAACATAGAGAACGTCAGCGTGGAGATGCTGCTGCGCAAGTTCGCGGAGAGCAAGGGCACGGGCCGCGAGAAGCCTGGTGAGCCAGGAGCTGGTGAGGTCGGGCTGCGGGCCTGGCTGCAGGGAGGGCACAGGACTCAGGAGGCAGGAGAGTCAACCTCGCTGGGCCTCGGTCTCATCATCAGGAAAATGGGCTGATGGCAGATCTAACTCCACAGCCCAACAGGAAGAGGGTCTGATGCCTGATCTTGTGTGTGAATCTCTTGCAACCAGATACCAGAAGGGCCTTGAATGCCAGGCTCAGCTGTTCTGGCTCTACCCCGATGGCCCAAGGGAGCCATTGAGGGTTGTTGAGCAGATGGCCCATTTGAAAAGGCCTACGTGCAGGGTCTGGGAAGAGTTGAGAACAAGTTTGGGGTCACATCTCGGTTTGTGTCTTTTCTTCATCTCTCACTGTGTGACCTTGGACATCTGTCTTGACTTCTCTGAGCCCTAGGTTCCTGATCTGTAAAGTAGGGGTGATAATGATCCCCACCTAATGGTGTTGTGAACATTCAGTCATTTGATGCAGGTAAAGGGCAAAGTGTGTGCCTGGCACATAGTAGGCACTCATTAAATGCTAGCACGTGGCTTATATCCCCAAGTCTAGTCAACCACCGAAGTCTGTCCTTTCTCTCTCCTGTCTCTATAGTTCAGCCCCGGCTCAGGCCACCTCTCCTTGTGTGGGCCTCCTCTCTCGTGCTCCTCGGGCTCCAGATCACCTTCCATGGCTCCCCATTGCCCTTAGGAGAGAGTCCCAGCTCCTCACCCTGGCACTTGAGGCGCAGCCCAGTGCACAGACTCGTGGTCCAGCCCCTGACCCACCCAGCTTCCACCCAGAAATGCTGGAATGCCTGGAAGCGACTCAGGCATCACCCATTTTAGTCCATCCCCAGGTGGCACCACCTGGCCGGGGCCAGAACCCTTGGCCTGTGCCCCTCAGGCCCATCCCAGGGGCTGGTTTGGCATCTGGGCTTGCGCAGCAGACGCTGTCCAGCGGCCAGGGGTGCACGCTGCCCCTCCCGGCCGGCCTGCCCCGGCTGAGCCGCCCCGTCTCATCTGTCCCAGGCCCCCTGGACTTCGAGGCGTACAGCACAGCAGCCCTGCAGGAAGGCAAGTACGTCTGGGCCGGCCGCCCAGGCTGCGCGGCGGTGGGCGGGGGGCGGCCTGAGCACGAGGGCGCCCGGCTCAGCGCCCCCTCTGTCCTCAGCCATGAAGCGGCTGCGGGCCGCCAAGGCCTTTCGCCTCCCGGGACTGAGCCGGCGCGAGCGGGAGCCACCTGCAGCTGCGTGAGAAGCCCCCGCCCGGCCCCAGCCCAGGCTAGCCCGGGACCCCCCCTGCCCAGGCTAGCCCAGAAGTCCCCTGCTTAGGGTAGCCCAGGAGTACCTCTGTCCCAGGCTAGCTCAATAGTACCACTGTCCGAGCTAGTCCAGAATTCTTCCTTTTGCCAAGGCTAGACCAGGGGCTGCCTTTCCCAGACAGCATCAGGATGACCCCTGCCCTGGCTAGCCCAGGATGCTTCTCTTTGCCGAGGCTAGCCCCATAATTCCCCTGCCAAGCCTCGCCCCTGCGTTCCCTACCTTCTCAGGACAGCCATTCAGACTAGCTCCAGGGGTCCTCCCCGTCCAAGCTGTTTGAGAACACCCCCTGCTCACCAACTCCAGATTCACTGCCCCCGCCCAAGCGAGCTCCAGGGTCCCACTGCCTGCAGGGCTAGCTCAGGGCAATGTCGCAGCAGGGGCCACCCCCAGGGGCCATGGCCAGTGTCAGGGCTGAGGAAGGGGCCAGGTGAGGTGGGCAAGCCAACACCAACATCTGTCTCTCCATCCCCAGAGACGCCCTGGAGCCCGGGTCAGGGGTGAGTGCGGGGGGAGGCCGGTGGGGCTGCCAGCGGGAGGGGTCAGCCCCCACCGCCCCAGCTCCAGGGGGCCAGGGCCTGGGTCACATCCCTTCTTGGCTGTAACCTCCCGTGGACCACGTGGGAGGACTGACGTCCCCACTTGGCCTCAATCCCGCCCCGCAGCACGGGCAGGGGCATGGTCTGTACCCCAGGAACCCCCGGCCCGGGGAAGGGCATTATTGCCATTGGGCTGGTTTTCAGTCAGAGTCAGGGCCCCGGGGGCACGTGGCAGCGTGGGATGGGGGAGGCTCAGCCTGGAAGCCTGACTACCGCCTTGTCCCCCCAGACGTGTGCAGAGGTGGACGAAGAAGGTTTCACTGTCCGGCCTGATGTGACCCAGAACAATATCCTGGCGCCCCCTGGGGGCAGTTGTTGGCACAGCAAGGACAAAGCTCTGTCCACAGTGATTCCCTCCACCATTAGCCACTCTGTGTACACCATGGGGGAGCCTCCAGTGTGGATGAAGCAGATCCAAATGCAGATCCTTCCCACATGGGGCCTGGGTTGGGAAAGAGGGAGAGAGAGCAGCTGGGATACCCCAGAGGGGGAGCCAAGAGGGCTTCCTGGAGGAGAGGGCACCAGTGTTAGAGTTTAGCAGCTGGACAGGAGTTCACTAGTTCGGGCAGGGTGTGCTTGTGCAAAGCCTTGGGTGGGAGTGGGAGTTGGGGTTGAAAAACATGGTGTCAGGGCCGAGGGGGCCAGAGGGGAGGGGTGGGACTGTGCAGGGCCTTGAAGGGTTTGAGCGGGAGGGGATGTGGTCCATTGAGGGCCTCCCAGTAGGAGCCCCGGGCTGGCATCTGCTTGGCCCTTGACCGCAGCGCAGGCACAGCCGAGCCCTCCCGCTGCTCGTCCAGCGACTCCGACTTCGACGACGACGAGCCCCGCAAGTTCTACGTGCACATCAAGCCGGTCCCGGCCCGGGCGCCGGCCTGCAGCCCCGAGGCGGCCACCGCGCAGCTCCGGGCCACGGCGGGCAGCCTCATCCTCCCTCCCGGCCCAGGGGTGAGGCGGGCGAGGGGCGCTCCAGGTAGGGCTGGGCGGGGTGGACGCGCCGGCCTGATGTCCCCTCTTTGTCCACAGGGCACCATGAAACGCCACTCCTCACGTGAGTAGCCTGTTAAGGGGCCTTCAGTCTGGGGAGGAGCAGGCGGAGGAGGGGCGGGGCCTGGAGTGTGGGTGTGGCGTCAAATCCCAGCTCTGCTCCGTGACTTGGGGCAGGCTGCCGACCCGCTCGGACCCTCAGTCTCCTATTCTGTAAAATGGGGTCATTATGAACATTAAAGGGGAGCTGAAAGGGGCAGTTGGGGCCAAGAACGAAGCCCAGCCTGGGGGCAGGCTGCCTCGGGTTTGAGCCCCCCTCTGCCTGGTCGGTCACCTCGAGCAGCTGGCCGGGCGGCCTGTGCAGCGGGGGCCCCACAGGCGGGGCGGCGGGAAGGCTCAGGGGTGTCTCTCGTAGGTGACGCTGCTGGGAAACCACAGAGGCCTCGATCCGCCCCGAGGACTGGCAGGTGGGCTCCGTGGGGTGGGCCATGGGCTCACGCGAGGCCAGGTGGCAGCCGTCCCTTCCCCCCTCCGCCTGCCCTGCTGCCTGCCCGCCTCTGCCGCCCCTTCCCTCGCCCTGGGGGACTGAGCCCTTAGTCACCGTGCGGTGGCATTGGGGAGCACCTGCTATGTACTTGTGCTGTTCTGGGCTCTGGGGCCACGTGACCAAGACCCCTTCCCAGAGTCGCGTTCTGGTGGCTCAGATTTTAAGAATAGCAAGTTCGAGGATACCAACCCTTCTGAGTGCTGTGAAAAGCTAAAGCAGGCGATGTGAGGAAGGACAGGGCTGGGCAACTTTAGTTGGGGCAGTGGTAGAGAGCTTTTCAGGGGGAGATTTGAACAGGGGCAGGAGGTGGCCACAGGGAGAGCCGAGAGGGCCGAGCTCCAGACCTAGAGCAGCGTGTGCAAAGGCCCTGAGGTGGGAGGAGGCCTGGAAACAACGGGACTCTCCCCTCTCGTCCCCTCCGGCCCCAGCTGTGCAGAGAAGCTGCAGTCGGACGAGCAAGTTTCCAAGAACCTCTTTGGGCCGCCCCTAGAGGCGGCCTTTGACCACGAAGATTTTACAGGTGAAGGAGGTAGGGGCTGGGGGCGTGGGCGTGGCCAACGGGAGAATGGGTGGGGCCTTGCAAGGGCAGGCGGCCGGGCCAGGCTGGAGGGAGGATGGGGAGTCCTTTGCTTTGGGGGTCAGTGGGAAGGTAGACGGGTCGGTGTGAGGCTGGGCGGGGCCTTGTGGGAGCGGGGGTGGCTGTGGGTGGATGGGCGGTGTCGGCGGAGATGCAGGCGACCAGAGGGCGCGGCTGGGGGCGGGCCCTCCCTCGGCGTGGGCGTGGCCTCGGAGGCGGGGGGTTGCGTGTGGGCGGGGTCTGGAGCTGGCCGCCCGCTCTCCTCCAGGCTCCAGCAGCCTCGGCTTCACCTCCAGCCCCTCGCCTTTCTCGTCCTCGTCGCCCGAGAACGTGGAGGACTCCGGCCTGGACTCGCCGTCCCACGCGGCGCCCGGCCCCTCCCCGGATTCCTGGGCCCCCTGCCCGGGCACCCCGCAGAGCCCTGCTGGCTGTAGGGCGCCGCCCCCGGAGTCGAGGGGGACACGGCCCGTGCAACCGTCGGACTCGCCCCAGCCCCTCGCGCCATCCCCGGGCCCCTGGGGGCTGGAGGCTGTGGCCGGAGGAGGTGAGTCCAGCGCCCGAGTTATCCGAGCCCTGGGGGGAGGATTGAGAGCCTGCTGTGACCAGCGCCCCAACTGGGGCACTCAGCAGGGACTGAGGTGGCAGAAACCCCGACCCTCGAAGGGACAATAATGAGAGGGATATTGAACAAGGCAGGAGGTGACAGGTTCTGGGCGAGGACTTGGAAAGGTGGGGCCTCTCTAAGGAAGGGACATCTGAGCTGAGATTTGATGGAGATGAGGATGTTCCCAGAAGAGGGCACAGCCCATGCAAAGGCCCTGGGGTGGGACCAGGCTTGAGGAACTGCCAGGTGACCTGTGTGGCTAGAACAGAGTGATGAGAGGGAGAAGGTGACGGGCTGTCAGCAGGGCCTGGTCGTCCCTGGGAGAGATGTGTCTTACCCCCAGCAAGGTAGGAGCCATGGGAGGGAGAGCTGTGAGCAGCTGAGGGGCCCTGGCTCAGGTTGCCCGTGCCTTCTGCCGGCATGGGGGTGAGGGCAGGAGCTGGAGCCCAGGGAGGTGAGTCTAGGCAGGTGGCGATGGGGTCACTGTGGGGAAAGACAGATTCGGGGTGAGAGCACAGAGGAATCAGGGTGCACAGCCCAAGGGCAGCTGGCAGGACCCGGGAGGGACAGGGAGGGTAGGGAGGAAGAAGCTGGGGGGGCATGTCGAGGCAGGGCCTTTCCCTGTCACGTGGACCGTGGACACCGAGTTCCGGGAGGCCAGGCTGAGGCCCCCATGGGCAGCTGCATGAGGAGGTCATCAGAGCTGAGGGGAGAGGAGAGGGCCCAGCGCGGCGTGGGGGAGCGGCCGGGCGGGGCAGTGGGCTCCTGGGGCCTGAGGCAGAGGGAACGTGGGCTGTGACCACGAGATCCCAGCGCTGGTGACAGGGTGCTTGGCGCTCTCCATGGTTAAAGAAAACCCCGGCTGGAGCCAGGTCAAGGGAGGTTCAGGGGGAGTGAGTGTAGACCACGAGTGTGGACAAGTCGAGTCGTTGAGCTTCACTGTAGAACAGGGATTCTCGGGGCCGACCCGGTGGTACAGCCGTTAAGTGCGCACGTTCGGCTTCGGCGGCCCGGGATTCGCCGGTTCGGATCCCGGGTGCGGACATGGCACCGCTTGGCACGCCATGCTGTGGTAGGAGTCCCACATATAAAGTAGAGGAAGATGGGCACAGATGTTAGCTCAGGGCCAGTCTTCCTCAAAAAAAAAAAAAAAAAGATTAAAAAATAATAATAAAATTTAAAAAAGAACAGGGATTCTCAGCTGGGCCGATTCTGCCCCCCAGGGGACACTTGGCAACATCACCACTGATACTAGATTGTCCTCACTGAGGGGGGCAGGGCGGTGCTACTGGCCTCTGGTGGGGGGAGGCCAGGGATGCTGCTCCCCACCTTCACACACACAGCAGCCCCCCTGCAGAAGGGACCCCGAGTGTCAGCTGGGCTGTTGGGAGGCCCTGGCCGGAGGGCAGCACAGCCTGGCCTGTAGGTGGCACGGAGGTGGGTGAGCCCGCGGAGGTGGATGGGGCAGAGCAGAGGACCCAGGGAAGCGGAGCGGGCGGGTCTTGGGTGTTACACCACGATTAGTTAACTTAGAAGAGTGAGACTCAGACATGGGCCCGGGTAGGAGGCCACGCTCATACTCTCAGAGCATGAAGGTCACAAAATTGCCTGATACTGGATAAAAACCCTCTGCCAAATTGCCCTGTAGCATGCCTGCCTCCGAAGCATCCAATCCTTGCTTGCATACCTCCAGGGACAGGGAGCTCACCCCTCATTGGGCCACCAGTCTGGTGTCTGGGCGGTTCAGGGTTGTGGATGGCATCTGCGGTCCTGTCTGACACCTCTGAAGCCCCAGGACTTCAGACCAGCAGGAGGTCTCCCAAAAATAAGCCCAACTCCCAGCTTTTGGCTGAGTCCCTCCCCTGGGGAGGCTCAGGAGGCACAGGGCAGTGTCTCAGCCACGTCTGTTCTCACGCTCACTCCCCAGACCTGATGCCTGCGCCTGGCGAGCTCACAGCCAGGGACGGCCTGGCAGCGCCACCCCGGAGAGCCCGCTCCAGGAAGGTGTCCTGCCCCCTCGCGCGCAGCAGCGGGGACCTGGTAGGGTGTGGGGCGTGGCAGGAGCCGGGCTGGGGTTGCCCCGGGCCAGCATCAGCGCTGCTCCTGGGGGCTTCACAGCCCAGTCTGTCTCCTTCCCTTCCAGTCTCGGTCCCTCAGCCCCTCGCCACTGGGCTCCTCGGCCCCCAGCACAGTTCCAGAACGGCCCAGCTTCTCCTCCCAGACAGGCCACGGTGCGTGACCCTCTCAGGGCTCGGTTTCCCCTTTCTGCTGTGGGTGGGTGGCTGAGAGGTATGACGGAGGCCCCCTTGGCAGAGGGCGGGTTCCGGGGCCTCATCCTTGTGCTCACGCCATCTGTCTGTCCCCCATTTCCTCCCCACCACACCCAGGAGTCTCCCGGGGCCCAAGCCCTGTGGTCCTGGGCTCCCAGGATGCCCTGCCCGTGGCCACTGCCTTCACCGAGTATGTCCACGCCTACTTCCGGGGCCACAGCCCCAGGTACGCAGTAAAGGGGGATGGTGCAGACAGTGACAGGGCAGACAGAGCTCCCGGAGGGCTATGCGTCTGGGTTCCACCAGGAGCAACCTTTCGGTGTGCTTCATGACCTCCTTTCCCGTGGGAGGGCCTCGAATACTGAGCAGAGCAACCAGGTCCCTGCCCCAAGGGCAGTGGGAGCCATGGAGTGCATGTGAGCAGGGCTAGGCATCGTTGTCACAGTTTAGAGGAACTCCTCTCAGGTCCCTGTGGGCATTGAACTGAAGGGAGCAAGACCACAGGGCAGACCCATGGAGGGGGCAGGTTAGGGGTGAATTGAGGGGCCACGGATCATCTGGGGGTGGCACCCAGCAGCAAAGACCTTAAAATCAAACCACAAAGAGGAGGAGAGTATTAGACATGAAACCCAAGTTGAGGACAGTTGCAAGACTAAATGTTTTGCTTTGAGTTTCCTGGTGGCCTAGGGGAAAAGAGAACTAGGGAAGGAGGAGTTCCTGCCTCCTTCAGCCAGTGTGGATTTTTCCTGGTGCCTGGATTGCTGTCCAGCCAGGGAAGCAAGGGGAGGAGGTTGGGGATGAGGGTGTTGGGCATGGTCATGACCTTGCTGCTTCTGAGGGGCTGGGGAGCCACAGGCTGCAGTGGAGCTGCGAGAAAGGGTAGGCTGAGGTGCCAGGCAGAGCCCTGAGCCAACACTCCGTCCCCTCACACCCACCCCAGCTGCCTGGCTCGGGTAACTGGGGAGCTGACCATGACCTTCCCTGCCGGCATCGTGCGTGTGTTCAGTGGGACCCCACCCCCGCCGGTCCTCAGCTTCCGCCTCGTGCACACGACCCGCATTGAGCACTTCCAGCCCAATGCTGAGCTGCTCTTCAGGTACAGCGGGAGGAAGAGAGGCAGGGGCAGAGGGTCCCAGAAACTGGTGGAGGCTAGGAGCTCCCCAGCTCTGAATTCCTGCTCTGCTTTTTGGGATTTGCTGTGTAGCCCTGGACAAGTCGCTCTTCCTCTCTGAACCTTCCTTCCCTTCCCTCCTTTGCTCCCCACCCTGTCCCTTCTCCGGGGTCATGCTTTGCTGGGCCCAAGCGTGGGAATCCACATCCTTAGGAAGCCCCTGGGGTAGCCGGCTGCTGGGGGCCCTGGGAAAGCATCTCCTGAGGGTTGGAGTGAATGATTTCTGGTCTCTGCAGTGACCCCTCCCAGAGCGACCCTGAGACCAAAGACTTCTGGCTCAACATGGCGGCTCTGACGGACGCCCTGCAGCGCCAGGCAGAGCAGAACCCGGCTGCCTCCTACTACAATGTGGTGCTCCTACGATACCAGGTGGGATTCCGAGTGGGCCCGGCCGGCCGGGGCGGGGCAGAGGCGGGGCGGGGCGGGGTGGAGGAGCCGAGGCGGGGCGGAGTGGAGGAGCGGGGCGGGGCAGAGGCGGGGGCGGGGCGGAGGAGCGGGGGGCGGGCGGGGCGGAGGAGCGGGGGGGCGGGGGGGGCGGGGGGGGCGGGGCGGGGCGGAGGCGGGGCGGGGCGGGGTGGAGGAGCCGAGGCGGGGCGGGGTGGAGGAGCGGGGGCGGGGCAGAGGCGGGGGGGGGCGGAGGAGCGGGGGGCGGGGCGGGGGCGGAGGAGCGGGGGGCGGGGCGGGGGGGGGGGGGGGCGGGGGCGGGGCGGAGGCGGGCCGGGGCGGGGTGGAGGAGCCGAGGCGGGGCGGGGTGGAGGGGCGGGGCGGGGCGGGAGGGCGGGCGGGGCGGAGGCGCGGGGGGCGGAGGCGGGGCAGGAGCGGGGGCGGGGGGAGCGGGGGGCGGGGCGAGCCGCAGCAGGGAGAGGCCGGCGGCTGGGGGCGGCTGGGGGCGGCTGGGGGCGGCTGGGGCGGCTGGGGGCGGCTGGGGGCGGCTGGGGCGGCTGGGGGCGGCAGGCGGCCGGGCAGGGAGGTGGCTGTGGGGGCCGGGCCGCCTCCTGCGAGGGCGCCGTCGTGCCCACCCTGCCCGGCGCGGGGCCGCGGGCCCTTGTTAGGGGAGGCCCCGCCCTGCTGTCTGCCGGAAACGCGGGGCGATGCAGGCTGTGAACGGCAGCGCCGCCGGGCGGAGCAGGGGAAGGGCCCTGGGGGCGGTGACTGCGGGGCAGAGTTCGGTCGGCTGCAGGGCGGCGAGCCCGGGTCGCGGTGTGGAATAGTGCCCGTGGCGGGACGGCATGGCGCTAGCCGCGTGCTCCCCCCGTTCTCGCCCCCCAGTTCTCGCGCCCGGGGCCGCAGGCCGTGCCCCTGCAGCTGAGCGCGCACTGGCAGTGCGGGGCGGCCCTCACTCAGGTCTCGGTGGAGTACAGCTACCGGCCTGGAGCCACGGCCGTGCCCACGCCGCTCACCAACGTCCAGATCCTGCTGCCTGTGGGGGAGCCGGTGACCAACGTGCGCCTGCAGCCGGCCGCCACTTGGTGAGGGTGTGCGGGAGGCCAAGGGAGGCTCGGCAGTGCGGCCAGGGCCCCTTGGAGCAGCAGCTGGGGTCTGCCCTAGGCCTGCCCGCCCCGAGCTCTCACGGCTTACGCGAGGGTGCTGTTCCTGACAATGAGAATGTCCCGCACCGAGAGCTCCAGGGTGTCCCGCGTGTGGCACACGCTCTGCCTGCGGGCCCTTAGTGGTCCCTCCCCTACGGGGGCTGAGGCCTAGGAGGCTGGGCGCTGGCTCAGGCTGCCCAGGGCTGCCTCCCACCCGGGGCTCGCGGCCGCGGCTCTTCCTCCCAGTGCACCATTCCCCTTGTTTTGTGCAAAGGGCAGAACCTGCCACGAAGGCAGACTTATAGGTCCAAAGGCATCACCTAAAGATGCTTCGAGGGTGCAGGTCCCTCAAGTGCCAGCTGTGCCTTAACCCACCCCCATTTCACAGATGGCGAAACTGAGGCAAGGGGGGGGACCTGGTTTGCTCAGGTCGTGTAGCCAAGAGGTGATGGAGCTGGGACCCCGGGCTCCCAGTGTTCTCTCCAGGGGAGACCTGACCAAGCTTCTCTTGATGCCAGGAACCTGGAGGAGAAGCGACTCCTATGGAAGCTTCCAGATGTGTCCGAGGCAGGGGGTGAGTTAGGGTTGTGCTGAGGGCTCAGGTGGAGGAGCTTATATACACTGAGGGAGAATTGGGGATGTACCAGGAGTGGGGCAGTGTGGGCATCCAGACGGGCTTGACAGGGCTCTGACAACATTGGGGGACAGGGCATGCTGGGGGCAGGCAGGTGCAAAGACCCTGAGGCAGGACCTCTTTGCAAATCACGCACAGCCCCATGGGACCAAAGGAAAAGGGTGCGGGGGTACAGAGGCCACAGATCAACAGGCTTGGGTGTCAGGTGGAGGAGGAGCCCAGGTCACAGCGGGACCAGAGCTGGGGGATGGGCCCCACTGACCTCAGGCTTCCCCAGGCTCTGGCTGCCTGTCTGCCAGCTGGGAGCCATGCTCGGGGCCCAGCACACCCAGCCCCGTGGCCGCTCAGTTCACCAGTGAGGGGGCCACTCTGTCGGGCGTGGACCTGGAGCTGGTGGGCAGCGGCTACCGCATGTCGCTGGTAAAGAGGAGGTTCGCCACAGGTATTTGCCCGCCCTGTGGCCACGCCGGGCCTGAGCGCCGCCCTGTGCTCCTGCGGGCTGCGGCGGGGGAGGCATTTGGGGTGCTTGGGCAGGAGAGGCAGTGTTGGGGCCTGGAGACCCAGGATGGGGGGCACGGGTGGGGAGGGGTGGTCAGGGCCCCACTGGGAGGATCAGGAGGGGCTGTCCCCTGGGGGGAACAAGAAGCCCCACTGCCACCCCACCCCCACCCCATTCTCCTGCCCTCACAAGGGGCCACCCGGGCCTGGGGCTGTGGGAACAGTGAGTCAGGGGTGATGTGAGGAGAGTTGGGGGACCCCAGGGAGGGGCATGGGACCCGCTCCCCTCACTGCCCCGCCCCACAGGGATGTACCTGGTGAGCTGCTGAGCCCACAGAGGCCCTGGCGGCTGCTCTGCGCTGTGTCCTGGTGCTCGCCCACAGCTCCCTGCCCTCTGCGGACCCTGGGGCCCCTGACTCCGCCGACGCCCCGCCTCCCTGGAGAGGCGCCCACGGCCAGCCTGGCTGGGCCTGAGATTCACTCCTGCTCACGCCAGCGCCCACACAGGTCCTTGGACTTTTATGTTCTTTGAATAAACACTTTATTTTCTAATAAAATAAACGACAAGCCTTTTCCTGCTTCAGGTAGTTTCTTTCATGTCGTCAGAGAGGAGAGGAAGACCACGGGTGGGTGGGGATATTTAATATTCCCAACTTCCCCCTGCCTCCCCGCCCCGAACCTGTGTGCAGTGATACCGAGGGAGAGAAGCCAGACCAGGGCACTCCCAGCCCCATGAACCCCTCCAGTCCTGTGACTCGGAGCTGGGCCGTGGAAGGGATGGAGACTAGAGGAACCCAGAGTGGGCATTGGAAGACTTCCTAAGGAGGGGACATTATAAATGGGGCTTTGAGGTATGAGCAGGAGTTTGTAAAATGAGGTTGGCCATCCAGGCAGAGAAATGGTGAGTTGTGGGTTCCATGAGGAAGCAATTAGTCAAGCCACAGGTGTTGACTGAGCACCTGCTGTGTGCCAGGCAATTAGAGACACGGCTGTGAGCACAACAAAGCTCTCGGAAGCCATGAAGGTGTGAAGCCAAAAGGCCTGGGTTAGAACCTGCTTGGCCCCTGTGGCTGTGTGACTTTGAGCAAGCAGCTTGAGCTCCCGGGCCTCAGTTTCCTCATCTGTAACCCACTCACCCGGTGGCTGCGTGGGTCACACCCTCGAAGAGAACCTGGTACAGAGGAGGCTCCCCTGCAGTGCTGGCATGTTTATGGTGTTGGGGGCCCAGGGTGGAGCATGGGCCCCAATGCAGGTGGGCAAGGGATGGCCTGAGTGGGGCCCAGGACAGGTGGGGTGACCAGCATACTGTGGTGAGGAGCAGGGCTGAGCTCGGGGCACAGTGCTGGGTCCTGGTGGACATGTGAGGACCCTGGGGCCCTGACCCTGAGGCCGTGCAGATCGCAGGGAGCAAGCCGGGCCAGATGGAGCTCGGCGGCAGCAGCAGGATTCAACCTGGCCTCTCTGACCCTCCTGCCCTGTCCGGCGAAGGGGTCTGCTGGGCCTCTGTTTCCTGTCTGGGAAGTGGGGATCCTCCAGCTGGGAGAGGTCTGGGAGCCTCCTCAGCTCTGTGCATGAGTGGCAGCATCCAACGGGGCCTTCAGGCAGTGACAGCCCCAGCACACGCACCGCCTGCCTTGGGCGGGGGTCAGCGGCAGAGGCCAGCAGCAGGCCGCTGCAAGTTCACAGCCCATAGCCCCATGTGGCCCTGAGCTCGAGGACCCCGTCAAGGAGCCTAAATCAAACATCCGACCCTGAGGGAGGGTCCCCTCCATCCTAAGTCTTTGCACACACGTGTGCATGCGTGCACGCTCAGTGGCTTTGGTCCTTCCCAGACTGCCCCTTTGCCGGTCCCACGTGGCTGAGTGGCTCGAGTGCCATCTCCATGCTGTGGCCACTCCCTGCGGGTCAGGGTGTGTTGCTGCCACCCTGGGCTGTGGTGTCGTCTGGCATGGGTTCTCATCCTCCTGATCAGTGGCGGGGAAATGGAACCTCTAATGGGCTATTTTCTTGTCACAAGTGAGGCTGGGCAACGTCTAACCACAGAGGCACATCCTGGGCGGGGCCTCCCGACCCCAGGGCCTTGGCTTCCCAAGCTGCTGCGACGTGTGCCAACCTGCGGAGGGTGAGTCCGGGGGCACCCGTGTAACGGTCAGGGGGCTGTCATAAGGCGGTTTACGATACCATGGTCTCCTGCACCGGGGAGGCCCCAAAATCTCAGTGTGGGGCACAAAGCCATTAGATCACCTGCCAGAGGCCACCCCCAGTTGGTGAGTGACCAGGTCAGGAATTTTTTTTAATTGAGGTGAAATTAACATTACAAAAAATTAACCATGTAAAGTGCACAATTCAGTAGCATTTAGTGCATTCACAATGTTGTGCAACCATCATCTCTATCTAGTTCCAGAACATTCCATCACCCCAAAAGGAGACCCCTGAGCAGTCCCTCCCCATCCCCCTCCCCCAGCCCCCCAGCACCCATCGATCTGCCTTCTGTCTCTGTGGATCTGCCTGTTCTGGACTTTTCACATAAATGGGATTGCACGCTGTGTGGCTCGTGTGTCAGCTTCTCTCACTCAGCGAGAGGTTTCCGTGGTCCCTCCTTGCTAGAGCATGTCTCAGGGCTCCGGTCCTGTCTGTGGCTGAGCTCTGGGCCCTTGTGTGGCTGGAGTGCATTCTGTCCAGGCATCATCCGCTGATGGACTCTTGGCCTGTTTCCTCTTTCGGCGGCTGTGAGCAGTGCTGCTGTGAACGCCCGTGTCCGAGTCCTCCGGGGAGATGCCCCGGAGTGGAAGTGCTGGGTCAAGTGATGATTCTAGCATGGATGTGAACCCAGCAGGCGCCAGAATCCACCCTGGAAGCTTTTGGAGCCACCCCGGGGCCTCTGCGCCTCCGACTGTTGAGCCAGCGGGCCTCAGTTTCCCAGCAGCAGGCTGGGCGCGCCCCGAGCTCACTCGCTCCACCGGGCAGGCCCCTTCTAGCGCCCAGAGCTCCGGATTCGTGTGCAAGTTTACAGTTTCCGGGGCGACGACTCAGGAAGGGGCCCTGGCGGGCGTGAGGATGGGCGGGCCCCATCCGGTAGAGCCGGCCTGATTCCGGCCCTGCCGGCGGCCCGTGAACTCAGGGAACCCGCAGGCCCCACGGGGACTCGAGGGTCTTGAACATCAGCCGGGGCGCTGGCCCTCGCAGGGGGGAGGCGGCTTCAACACGCTCCAAAGTCGGAGCGTTTATGGCGGCAGGTGGGTGCGTGCGCGGGGGCCACCGCGGCCTCAAGTGCCCCCATCGATGCACCCCCATCCGATGCAGTCGCCCTCCACACGGGCGGGGCAGAGCCTGGCTCCGCACTGACCTTGCTCCCCAGACCTCTCCCAGCGAGAGGAGCCGGGACTGAGTGCCTCCATTTGACAGACGAGGACACTGAGGCACAGCAGGACCCGCCTCTTTTTCCTCCTCGGGAAGAAATAGGGATGGAGGAGGAAGTGGGGTGGCTCGAGCCACTGCCTGGCTCACCCCTGTGGACTGGATCGCCCCCACCCCGGAGCTGCCGACCCCAACGCGTCAAGGCTGGAAATTTCTAAAGTCAGACGCAGCACAGGGCAGGGTTCGAATCTTCACCAACTCCAAGAGTCTTCAAATCTGCCTTGCAACTCCAGAGCCTTTCCGGATGCCAGCCCGCGGCCTCCGCCGGCTGTGGGCTCAGGACACGTTTTCGGGTTCTGGAATCTTCGAACGCCCTGCAGAGACCCGAAGAGCCGCTGGGTTCAACCTGCCCCCTGCCCCCTCGTCATTTCTCGGTGGAACACACGCTGGCCCGGCGCCGCGCGGGGCCGCATCTCCGGGCGGGAGGGCTCGGGAGCCGGGGCCGGCGGCGGGGGGCGCGGGCGGGAGGGGAAAGAGGCGGGGCCGGGGCGGGGCGGGCGCGCAGGTGAAGCCGCCCGGGGCCGGGCTGGGGAGCGCAGACTGGGCTCGGAGGCCGGACAGTTGTCTGCGGGTGAGTGTCGGGGGCCCCTGGGGACCCGGCGGCCCGGTAGTCGGGGGGAGTCGGGGCTCTAGGGAAGGCCCGGCAGGTCCCTGGGGTCGGTCTCCGCCGCGTTTACCCAGGAGATGCCGGGGATCCTGGCGCCCGGGTATCGCTCACCGCGCTGCCCCCACCCGTCGGTGATGGTAGTAGCCAGCGTGTCCGAGGCCGGCCGGGGCGGCCTGGCGGGGAAGGAAACAAGGAAGCCCCCCCTCCCCTCGCCTGGAGGGCGGGCGGTGACCGAGGCGCCCCGGCTCTGGCCTCCCTGACCCCGCGCTCTGTCCCGGCGCAACGGGGCACACAGCGAGGCCCGGGGTCCCCGCTGTCCTCCCAGGAAACGGCGGGACCGGCACCGGGGAATGGAGGTGCTCTGGCCGCGCTGGCCATTACTATTACTGTTGTCGTTATTGTTGAGATTATTAGCGGACTGATTGGAAGGGTCTGGGCAGGAGCAGCACACGGCTTCCCAGGTTGGGTTTATTATTGTTTCTTAGCGGGAACCACAGCTGACTCGCACCTCGCCCTGTTGCCGGCAGCCCTGCCAGGCGCTGGGCCACGTGTGCGCCTAAGGACCCAGCTCCTGACCCCCTCCCCGTGCAGGTCTAGCGCCGGCTGTGTGGCTTGGGCAGGTCGCTCCTGGTCTCTGAGCACCTCAGTTTCCCCTCCCTGAGGTAGGACAACACCCGGCTTCTGTGAGGCGGCCTGAGGTGTTCGTCCAGTGGAAGCTGTTATGCTGGCGGGCTTCTGGCCACTGGGGGACCTTGAGCGAGGGCCGTTAGATCTCTGAGCCTCAGTTTCTCTGTATGTCAAGCGGGGCTCGGGGTGCAGGACTGTGGTGAAGGTAAGGGAGCTGAGAACCCCTGCAGCCTCTCAGGGGGCTCCCAGGGGACGGCAGTGTCACCACAACTGTATCAATAATAGTAATCATCGCCGTCACAATTCTGTCGTCAGCCACTTTTCCAGGCTCCTGACCAGCTTTCTCTCCGGTTCAGAAGTTTTTCGTGGCCACTTTTCAGATGTGGAAACTGAGCCCCCGCCCAGATGTCCTGTAGTCCAGATCTGGGATTCAGGGCCCAGGGGGAGCTGGCCAGATTTGGGGCCAGCCCTGTGGCAACCGATTCCTCCCACGCCCTGTCATTTCCCAAGGCTGCTGCCACACCAGATGGGGCTGAGGAGTCCAAGGAAGAGGTGTGGCCCCTGCACCAGGCAGGGGGGGCTGCTGGCCTGGGGGAGCAGCTCATGTTTGCTCCCCATGTGCCCCCTCCCTTCTCCCCAGGCTGCAGTGATTCCTGCCAGGTACTCTGGGTGTGGGGGAACCAAGAAGACACCTTGGAGCGTCTCTGCTCCAGGCCAGAGCTCTGGGAATCCAGACAAGCCGGCTTGGCCCAGGGACTCAGCCCAGGAGGGGGAGGTAAGGTGTCACCAGCCCAATTGCTCTTCCTGCCACAGGGCTCTAGGCCCAGAGTAGGACAGCGCCTGCCCCCATCCCCTGTGAGCCAAGGAGAATGCTCATTGTGGGCCCTTCTCCTGATGGAAGTCTGGCCCAGCTTGATTGCCCCCCCATGATGGGGATCTCACTACCAACATAGTAGACTAAAGGAAGCCCCACCAGGTGGTAGTTAAAGGCAGGGACGAGGCTCCCACTTGACCTTCCTTGAATGAGTTCCTTGCTCTATCTATGCCTCAGTTTCCCTATCTATAAAAGTGCAGGTGTGGAGTGTTAACAGCAGATGATGGAAAGGCCGCAGGCAGGACCTGGCAGGTTAACACTCATGCCCACTGTGCAGCTTGTGTTCTCACTCGTGACACTCTCCTTTGTGTGAGAGAAATGATGTCGTGAAGACTGCAGGGCTCTCAGTCCAGGGGCTGGAGGACGGCCCTGACCAGCTGGAAGGGGTGGGGGCCCTCGGGGAGGCCTCAGTTCCCCCATGCGCCCTGGATCACGGGAGGAGCGGGAGGTCGAATGGAACGTACGGTCTGCCTGCCCTAGCCTCAGTTTCCCCATCTAGGAAAGGAGGCCAGATATGTCCTTTGACACTTGGCTGGGGCAGGGCTGGCATGTCACCAGCGACCTGTGTGCAGCCTCAGATCCTTCCTGGACGGGCAGTTTTTGTGGTAGGGGAGGGCTGGCTCATCGTGAGTCATCGTGATCGCCCTGGGACCTGGATGCAGAGGATAGGAAGGTCTAAAGGGTAGCGCCACTGGCTGCGTCCCACCCGCTGTCCACACCCAGCCTCACCTAGGTGAACACTGGGTGGAAGTTTGCCTAAAGTCCTCTGGCATATGGCGCACTAAGCAGGGTCTGGCCCTCATGAACCTTTCTGAGGGTTATCTTTATGGGGCTTTTTCTTCTTTTTTTTCTATTTACAAGCAACTTACACTTCCTGTAAAGAGACTAGCTTCTCAATCTTGGGAGCCCAAGCTGGTATAAACCGGAGCGGTCCAGCAGGTCAGGCTTGAAATCCCACCAACCCTCCTCAGCCTTGTTTGGCTGTGTGACCTCTGGTAGGTGGATGCCCTCTCTGTGCGCAGCTCGCCCATGTGAGAACTGGAACCTAGGGCCCCCCCCAGGTGGCTCAGTGAGAGTCGCAGGGGCTCACACCCTCTCGTGCAGGCGCCCCTGACTCCTATGCCAGACCTCGCTCTTTCCCCCAAAATTGCCTGCTTCCCTGCCTCTCTGTCCCCCATTAGCGTGTCGGCTCCACGGGCAGGGGAGTTTGTCACCTTGGCTGTGTGCCCAGAGCCTAGGCCAGGGCATGGCACCCACTGGGTGCTCGGCCCTCGCTCGGAGCAGCCACGAGTCTGCAGCCAATAACGGTAGCAGCTGCTGATGCTTTGACTATCATCGTTGTCGGCGCTGCGTAAATGTGTAACTTGGTGTTAAGACCACTGCCGGCCCAGCCATTCTCAGGACCCAGGTCGTTATGCACACAAATGGGTGTGCTTTCTGCTGTCACCCCCACCTCTCACCCTGCCTTATGGCAGCCCTAGCATGTTCCAAGCCCCCATTCGATCCCAGCCGAGGGTTTAGGGGCGTGCCGGAGCCATGAGGCCGCAGTGATGCTCATGTTCAGCCCCTGCTGCCATCCAGCTTTGCGGACGCGGATGCTGAGGCCAGGGCCGGGCCCTGATTTGGAAATAGACCCAGCGTCGGGGTGCCCAGGCCTGCGGTTCCCGGAGCTGGGGAGGGCTCCAGGACTCACTGTCTCTGGGCCTCAGTTTCCTCATCTGGGAAGTGGGAGCGTTGATGTGAGGGGGCCTCCAGGTCAGGGGCAGGCAGGCCCGCAAGTCTTGAAATAGAGCAGGGTGGGGGCGGGGCCGGGCCCTGAGAGGCCCTGAGATCGCCCGGGCTGCCTGACATCCTCAGCCCCGCTGTGTCTCAGTCTCTCTGCCTTGCTGGTCTCCCCCGGGACGGTGACAAGAACAGGGTGAGGAGGACAGAGGTACCTGCAGCCACGTGTGCCTGGGGCCTTGCAGGCCTTGGCTGTCACCTGAGGGTGTAGGCAGAGCATGTGGTGCCAGAATTCTGTCACCAATGGGGGCCCCAAGTTAATTCTGCTGAGCGGTCAGCCTTTCTGTACATCTTGTGCCTCATTAAAAGTCAAAGATCACTAATATTTAGGCCCACGTATATGCGATGAATCGTGACTATCCAGGGACCTGTCTCAGTGCCTTGGGACTATTTAGTAGCTTGTTCATATTTGTTGTGATACTATTCATTCATGCCTCGCGAATGTGCTGCAGCCATTGATTGTCACCTCACTACTGTCATGCTGTGGATACTAGGCGGCCACATGTTTAGCGGCTCATTAATATTCAGAGCCTCAGTGACGCCGGCTGCTCGCTGGCAGCGCTGCTCTGCTGCTCGAGTGTCCCGGTGCCGTGGGCTCTTCAGCACGTGGGGAGCTGCTGGCTCACTGCCCCTTGGTGCCCCCCAGGCTCCCCCAGGTGCTTGCTGGCAGAGCGGCGGCATCCTCCAAGGGGCCTGGGGGCTGCTGCCTCTGGTGGGGCTGGGCTGAAGGGAGGCACGAGGAATGGCCGATATATATATGTCATCGTTAGTGTTTCCCTCATGCAGCAGACACCTGTGAGTGCCACGTGGGGCCACAGCTGTCGGGGACAGGACACCCAGCCCGCCTCTGGGGCCCAGCACGTTGGGAGCTGCGAAGGAAAGCAGAGCCGGGGCCTCCCTCAGGAGGGGACCTTGGGCTGTGCGTGGGG